ATAACTCCCAGAAGATTTGACGTCTCTGCACTCCAACTCAAGCTTAACCAGGTCGAGCAATCTATCCAGTTCACTCTAGGAGAGGAAGTCTATGACACTCAACCTTTCCTAGAGTTCCTTTGTAAATCTTATCATGAATTACAATTCTAAATCTACCGAAAACACCATGCAAACTATTAACCTTCTCTGACAAAGTCAATCAGAACCTAAGTTTTCCACTACTTCCCATAGATTTTTGACTTCCCTGAACTCTAAATTAACTTCAACAATTTTTCTTTCAACAACAGGCTCAACATATGTCATGGGAACAGGCTTTCCCATCAGCGCCATCTTAGCTGACTTATGCATGGAACACACCTAGAATCTGAACGCTTCTACATCATCCCCACAAACGCCTCATGATTAGGCTGTGTGCACGTTATGACGTACAGAACCTACAGAGAAAACTCAACACACTTGAACCAGCTATCTAATTTACACTCGAAGAAGAATCTAATGATAGGTTACGATTTGTCGACGTCCTTATTCACAAAGTAGATAACACCCTTAAATTCCAAGCTTAGAGGAAGCCTACAAGGAAAAACATTCTTACACGGTTCTATTTCAGTCTGGATACTAAGACCAAACTAGGCATCATTATCGGATATTTCCTAAGAGCACTGAATTTGCAGCCCAAAGCATCTTGAGTAACGTGAATACATACATCAAACCGTTACTGAGCTACAATTTTCTTCTTTTTTCATCAACAATTGTAAGAAAAGAGCCTTTACATATCAATTCACCACTCACTAACAGCACAATCACTTCCAGATTGCTTTGAACGTTTCTAAAGTACTTGCACAAGCCAACAATAGAGTCGCCTCGCAATCAGTACATCCAAAGTCCTGACCCTGATCAAAGTGAAGAACCTTAAACCAGTCAAGGAAAGTGTTTACACAATCCCATGCGGAGGCTGTGACAAGGTATACGTTGATAAAACACCACCAAACCTGCAAAAACGTCTCATTGAAAGTATCAATGAATGCACAAACGACAATTTGAACGCATGTGTGCAAGACCATACAGAGATTTAGTGAGACTCACCTAATGAAGGAAATTTCCACAGATAAATTGCCTTGGATCAACTTTAATCGCATTTCAGACTCCATTTAACAATATAAAGCCAGCTTCGTCGCTTCGAAGTATTAGCAAGAATTCTACTCAAACCTCGCCAACACATAGCAACCAAGAGTGATCCTACTGCAGCTCTCTCACCTCACGTGCTGCCTTTATATACCCTCTGTGTCCTTGTATTATTTGCAACGGCTTGATAAAGCTCCTCGAGAGCGAAACGTTGCCGCAGTAAAATGCCACATTAGTTGTACATGTGTCCTTTTATCTATATATGGTCGATAATTCTACCTTTATTACTAATAAAATGGGTGTAAAGCCCACGGTTATGTCTACAAAGACATATAAATAATCAGCTGTTAGTTAAGACTAAGCTGAATTTAACAAGACTGTCAGAACTTGATAAAGCTCATCTTTGTGTTAAACATAGTCCCAATGAAAGCTGCTTCTGCATTTTGTGGCTTTACACCCATACTATAGGACTGTCATTAAGCTACACTGAAGAAAACCTGCGTCTAGTGACTGCATGAAAGCTCACCAGCAAAGCTCGACCTTGCGAGCTGAAAGCTGATGGTGCATCGATCAACGAGTGTAATTCTGTCATTTTCATTACTTTCATCTCCCATATAACTAATTTCTTGCTCTTAATTCTAATGTTCAATTAAAGAAGTTTTAAGACAATTCTAAATGAGAGCTAAATATTTGATCAAAAAATCGATGAGAGATTGATAATGGAAGTTTTTTTCTATAGACTTAAGAATGTACTTACTGTACTCCACAAAGTAATCATGTGACGAAATATTTTTTCTCCAGCTAACCAAGCATAAGAGACGCTACGTTAAAATGTATTGTCAGTACTCTTACTTCCCGTCAGGCTGTGGACTCTGGTAGAGCAGTACAAAATGTTCGCCCAGGAGAACATCTACTTCACTGACTGTCTCCTGCGACACATGCACCAGTACCGCTTCATCGCTCACTACGACCCTGATGAGATCCCCATCTTACCCAACCATCACAACTACACACACTTTTTGGAAGACATGTTGAAAAGGTAAGTAAACTTTATTTTAACAAAGATATTTCGACAAATTAGACATGTGTCGAAATTCAAAGAAATGAGAGAGAAAATTATTCTCGGCGTAGTATATGTCTTTCCCTTCCCGCATAGAAAAAAATGATGCCCCTTTTTAGAACAAAATTAAATCAATCGGTAATAACAATTAGATAATGACAATTAATGATTCATTCGATTTTGTAATAATATATATATATATATATATATATATATATATATATATATATATATATATATATATATATATATATAATATATATATATATATAATATATATTTTAAAATAATATTGGGGTCCACCTCTGGTGTAAATTGTGGGACCCATAGCCTCGGAGAAGTGGATAAAAAGGCTTCAATGAAGAATATTTGGATTTCTTCCTGAAGCCGTTTGAATATTCCACTTCCCCTACCACCCCATCTTTTAATATATTTTTTTTTACCAAAGGAATATTTTATTACATAATATGGTACAGAAGATTTAAGAGATACATTGTTGATGTAAAGGTGGCATATACGGTACATATTGTACGTGTGTATCACCGATTATAAGGCGAAAATCTC